ACCCAGTTTCCTATAGGGAAGGCAGACAACTCTTGCCCCAAGGAGGCATTTAAGGACAGGATTAGAAACCACTAACACCCTCTCTGATTGTTTAGGAAAGAAAAGCCTAAATAACTCCAGGTAGATATATTCTTTCCAGGTTAAAGACACTTTGTTCTCCTCGAAGCCCAGGTAGGGGCTTGAGGAGAAAGTAATAGTCCCACTGGAGAGATGTGGAGAACCCAGGCTGGGAAAGGAGAAGGAGCTTGCCTAGGGTCACACACTGGCGGAGCAGCCATGTCAGACCCAGGACCAGGTCTCCTGGATCACTGGTTCCCCTGGAGCCTGACAGGCCAGACAGCCCACATGCCTCCCCGTCCCAGGACTGGACCAGCTCTGTGGAGAGTGCAGGCATTCCTCAGAGAGATGAAGGTGGGAGGGATGAGGATTGAGGACCCCTCCCCTTGTGCCCTCCCGACCAGGGCAAGAACAAGGCATGGGTTTCTCAAATTTGCCCCATCTCTACCAAAGATATTATTTTCATGCATGAAGGATAATCTTAAAATATTGAGAGGGTACGCTGGGGTCAGCTCCCAGGAAGACTGGTTGAGTTCTGCAGGGCTGAGTGCATATGGTGGGATGGGTGGTCCCTGAGGGGTCTTGGAGTGCCCTGTTCCAGTGCACAGAGGGAGGTGAGGCTCCCAGGAAAGACAGGGGTGGGCACAGCTGCCTGCAGGCAGAGAGTGAAAAGACCAGGAGTGCACTGCAGAGGACCCTGGCCCTCATCTCAGAGCAAAACCAGAAATCAACAGGCTCAGTGCCCAGCAACCAGGAAATAACAAAAGTCACGTGACAGAAACACACTTCTCCCAGAGTTCTCCCCACCCCAGGCCAAGGTCCCGTGCTCCCGGCACACACCGTGGGCTCTTAGACTCTCTAGGGAGTTAAGAGTCTCCCAAGCGTTGCTGGGGATCCTGTGGTATGTGGGGGGGGGGGGGGGGGGTGTCCCAGAACTGCCCATCCAGAAAGCCTGCTCCATAGTGTTGCTGAGCGCCAGAGAACCCTGGGGGCCAGCTGGGGTGAGTGCGCCCCCAGTTCCCATGACCTGTCCGATCATCCTTCAGCGTCACTGCAGAGTACAAGCTGTGGAGGGCAAGTGGGGAGTGTCAGTCTTGGGGCTCCGGCAAAAGAGGCAGAATCCAGCGCTGCCCCAGTCTTCATCCCTCCTCGGGTGAAGGGGCAGACCCCAGGGCAGGACTCACAGCTACGAACAGACTCCGACAGCCCCTCTTTGTCCAGGGTCTCGGCTTCCCAGTGAGACTCTTTCATCTGCAGAACATAAAGGACAGACTGCGATGGAGAGGCCTGGAGATAGGAACAAGAGGGAGACACACAGTGCAGGGAGCGGGGGACAGACAGCCACAGGCAGACAGGAACAGCACACACATAGCTTTGCCCCAGTGTGGGTCCCCACGTGCCCACCTTGACCTGCTCCTTCAGGTATTCAGCCCGAGCCATGAGATTCTGAACCTGCCAAGGGAAGACATGCCCAGGGACATGGGGTGAGGAGAGGCCTTCAAGTTGAGCTCTTCCTCACCCCTAATGCTCCCCGGGACCCTCTGCCTCATGAGAACAACTTGCCTGAGTCTTTCTCTGCCTCTTCCTCCAGGAAGCCTCCTGACTGCTGCTCAGTTCCCAGACCCTGCCCTGTCCCTCTGCCCTGACCCAAGCACCCGAACCCTGATGACGTGCACAGGGGTCACCAACTTAGCAAGTCTGTGAGGTCTGACTCCCAGACCTGGGGCACCCTGAGGGAACCCGAGGAGGTCCCCACACATGGAAGCAGGGCAAAAGGGGAAGAGGAACCCCACCCCCCTACTCCCACCGACCCTCCCAACCCCAGTGGGCACCTCAGTGTGAAGCAGCTCCCGCCTCCGGCCTGGGGGCTCCGCTGCAGAGAGAGGGAGGGCACATGGTAAGGGCGGGGTGGCCGGGGGCAGGTGGGGAGGGTGGGGCTGGGGCCTCACCTGCCAGCAGCAGCAGCAGCTCCCCCAGACTGCGCTGGTACAGGGCCAGAGCGTCCTGCTCCCCGCCAGCCTCTTCCTCCTGCAGCCACATGAACACCAGGTCGTCTAGGGGCATGACTTGGATTCCTCCTGCCCCCCCAGACCCCTCCTGGCAGCTCCAAACCTTGGCCATGGCAGCCGAAGCCACTTCCAGGGCAGCCAGGAGGCGTGGCTTGTCCCGGGCCATCTCTGGGATGAGGGGCAAAGGTGCACTGTGAGAGGAGCAGTCTGCTTTCTCACCTCAGGACGCCTACCTCCACCTCTCTCCCCCTTGGGCTGGAGGGAAGTGGCCGGCAAACTGGTCAGCTGGGGTCGGGGCCTACCTCTGAGCAGGTCTCGGGCAGAGGTCCCCTGCCTCAACAGGGCCTGACTGGAGGAGATGATGGCCTTGAGCTCCTCAGCCCGGGACACGTACTCACCTACCTGCTGGAGGGCAAGGGGCTGAGGAAGGGCTGTCCCCCACTCCCTCCCTCACCAGCACCCAGCTCCAGGTTCTCCCTCTGGGTCCTCAGTGATTGCCCCAAACTGCAATGTCAGGGGCCAATTGAGGCTGGGCTGAACCCCTTCCCAGGGAGGGAGGTTCCTCTAGGAGAGCCAACCCCCAGAGGCCCTGAGACCCCTCCCCATGTCCTCAGGGGACTCTGATCACCTTCACTTTAATTGCCTTCTTCCGCTGGGCGTCCACTTCATCTGCAGAAAGTGGGGGTTTAAATGAGGTCTCTGAAGCCTCACACCAACCCCTCTGGAATCCCCCAAAGCACTGAGTTCCAGATTTCCCCACTGTCTTGTCTCCCACAAAATTCTGGAAGGGGAGCTGCTTCTGGAAGTCAGCCACTGTGGCTGTGGCTGGCCCCGTCCTGCCGCACCCGCCTGGGACTCACAGTGCAGGGCGGGCACGAAGTAGTCAAGGGCCTTGCAGTAGAGAGACAAGGCAGCTGCAGCGTCCCCCTCCTGGTCCTTCTTCACAGCCTGCACCACCAGGGCGGTCTGCGGGAGGGCAGATCGGGAGTCATGCCCACCCCCCACGCTCACTGCGAGGGGTCATCCATACCCCGAACCCACCCTCTGACTCCTGCTGGGCAGGTCACCTGGGCCCCACTGAAAGGGATCAATGAAACCCCCCACCTGCCCTCAGCCCACCCGTCTCCACTGGCTGCTCACTGCTCGTGCCAGGCTCTCCCCACTGGGCATGTGCTCCAGGTCCACCCAAGGGTGGGCGAAGAAGTCCTGGAAGGAGATGCGGCGGCTGGGGTCCCGCTCCAGAAGCCGCTGCAGCAGATCTCGGCAGTCCTGGGAGAGTTGGGGCCGCAGGGGGAGCTGCGGGGGTGGGGATGGAACAGATCACACTGGGCTCTGGCACCCTGGCCCCCAGCCCCAGGGGCCTGTCAGGACCACCCTGTCCTGGGGGCCCCCCAAGACACACAACTGACAGATTGAGAATATGAGACGAGGAGGAAGAGTGACAGGTCAGAGTGTGATAGCCAGTGAGAGCCAAGCCTCCTCCCCAGGCTCCTGTCTTTGGGGTTTTATGGATGTAGCCTGCTAGGCTCCTCTGTCCATGGGATTCGCCAGCCAAGAATACTGGAGTGGGTTGCCATTTCCTCCTCCAGGGGATCTTCCCAACACAGGGATGAACACGCATCTCCTGCATTGGCAGGCAGATTCTTTACCACTGAGCCACCTGGGAAGCCCTTCTCCCCATGGAGAACCTGTAACAGGCTGTAGGGCAGGCCTTTTGCTCCCCACTATGGTCGATCTGGGTTCCCGGGACTGAATGGAGCCAACTTTCAGGCTAGAGCGTGCCCAGCGCCACAGTGGTGGCCTGGAGCCCACACTCCAGTCTGCAGGCGGCAGTGAGCTCTGCCACCTCAGGGCCCTGACTCCCACTGCCCCTCACAGTTTCGAAGGCCCTACCAGACCTACCTCAATAACCCGGTTGCTCCGGATCTTCTCTTCCAGCTCTGAAAACGACCTGGAGGCAAAGGGGGGCTGCCCGAAGAGGGCTTCTGTGGAAGGGAGGCAGAGGGCAGGCTGGGAGGGGATAGGGTCAAGCTGGGCCTGGCCCACTCCTGGAGAAGGGCCCCAGACCAGGAGAGTCAGGGTTCTCATTAAAACCCTTCAGGAGTGGCCCAGTGATGCTCTGCCTGAGGAGACACAGTGCAGACCTCCACGTGGGGGCAGGGGACAGAGCTCTCACCATACAGGATGACCCCCACAGACCAGAGGTCTACACGGGCATCATACTGCCGCTGACACACCATCTCGGGAGCCATGTAGAGAGGGGAGCCACGAAGCACGTGCTTCTCATCCCGGGGGGACATGTGCTGTGCAAAGCCAAAGTCTGCAGGCAAGAGGCCAGGCAGCAGGGCTCAGTTTCTGCTCCTGCTTTACAGCCTCCCCCTTGGGCTCCAGGGCAGGGCTCCTCCCACCCTCTAGACTCACCAGGATTAACCCCACTTCCCTACTTTGCTCATGTCGTTTCTCTCACCGCAAACCCTTCAGCCTCTTTGAGGGCATATATTCTACCCGTCCCACACAGCCCCCCTGCACACCTCTTCCCAGGAAGCCCACCCTGATGACACCAGCAATGAGGATAAGGGCTCACTAGGGGTTGACCTCTCCCTCACTGTCCTACCCAGCTCCGTGGACCTCTCTGGCCTCCAACTTCAAGTCAGTTCTCCTCCAAATTTTATCAGGGGCCACAACTACCCCTTTCCCCATTCCACACTTACCAACACTGCCCCAGACTGAGTCACAGTTTGGTGATGGATAAAAAACTAAGTCTGGTCACACTTTGAACCCTGACCCCAACAAGGATATCACATCACTGGCGTCAAGCACAGGTAGCCTGAGAAAGGCCCTATCTTTTGGTGACGGGGCCCGTCCCTGGACATCCCAGCCTGTCACTGTCTGATGACTCAATAGAGGGCTCCATGACAACGAGGGCTGCTGAGCGAGCTCAGGCAGAAGGTGGCCTCTGCACACCCACCGTCCAAACCTCCACACCTTCCGTTCCAGACTCACACCTGCCAGTTTAAGGTGGGGCTTCTCCAGGGAGCTCAGCAGAATGTTCTGTGGCTTCAGGTCCAGGTGAGAGATGTTCCGTTCATGTAAGAACTGCAGGGCACTGGCTAGGCAGTAGGAACCGTGCAGAGTGACAGGTCAGAGAAGCCTATCTCTCCCATCCCCTCTCTTACCTGCCTGCCTGCCCAACCCCAGTTCTGGCCTGGTCTACCAAATGCTTTTTTTTTTTTTTTTTTTGGCCTGTGCTGCATCTCAGCTGTGGCATGTGGGATCTAGTTCTCTGACCAGGGATTGAATCTGGGCCCCTACGTTGGGAATGCAGAGTCTGATCTAACCACTGAACCACCAGCAAAGTCCCTACCAAATGCTTTACATATAAGCACCAGGCTCCCCTCTCTGCTAAGACTTTGCCCTACCCCCACCTCGAATGACCTCCTTTCTCCCTTGTACCCCTTCACAAGTCTCCCCTCCTCCTAGAAGCCTCCCTAGATGCCCCAGCCCTTTAGGCCCTTGCTCTTTTCCTTGGCAAAACACTTGGGTCTTCGGAATGTTCCACGAGGTCTTTATGTTACTGAATATGTTTCACGTGTGGAAGCTTGTACTCCCCACAGATGGGACTCCTCTCCATCTCTCTCACAGCATCCTTAACCAGGGATGGGCAAAACAAAGGATGGGCCCTACAAATCCAAGCTGGGATGGCAGGCAACTGCTAAGAGTGTCACAGCTCTAAGCCTGGGGCAAGGGCGGGGTGGGAGAGCAGAGATCACGGGAAGGGGCGTCAGGCTGGGGTCAGAGGCTTTTACCCAACTGCTGCATGAAGACCCGAGCCACCTTCTCAGGTAGAATCCTGCGGGTGTGGATGAAGCGAGACAGGTCACCTCCTGCGCAGAACTCCATGATGAGGTAGATGTTGTCACTGTCCCACTGGGGTTAGAGGCAGAGAGGAGGCTTGAAGAGAGTGGCCCTTCTCAGCCCCCTTTGGTGGTCACCCCATCCCAAGCCCACACCTGGAAGTCTTTCAGCTGTACAATGTGAGGGTGTCGAATGCCCTTGAGGATCTCAATCTCTGTCAGGAGGTTTTCCACGGATGCCTTGTTCAGACTCTTCTTGGCCACACACTTTATGGCTACCACCTCCCGAGTATCCTTCTGTGGGGACAGGAGATTCAAGGGCTCTGCCTTGAGAGGGCCAGGAACCATGCATGGCCAGAAGGGCTCTGGTCCCCTCTGCCCTGCTCCTCCTCTCTGGGCCTGCCCACTCACACCAGCATCCAGGTTGCCCAGCTGCCCTTTCTCAGGCCAATAAGGCACCAAGATTCTGGAATCCTGGCTTCCACACTAGCCTCTCTGCTTCACAATCCCTTTCATTGTATTCTAGAGTGCCCCTGCTAAGGCATGTTATTCACTGTTCAAAACTGCCCACTCTGCTTCCTAAGTGGGTCCAGCCTTCTAGAACCCTGCCCCAGGCTCCTCCCAGCCCACAGGTATCCTCCCTGTTTGGAGCCTATTCTTCAGCCCCTGACGCCGAGGCTCCGAGGTCTTCACCCGTTTCTCCGCACAATAGCGGTGTGTATTTGTTTTGAAGAACTATCTGTGGGGGTCACCGCACACCTCCTCCACAGAAGGTCGACCTGGCACAGGCCAGGCCGTGGACCCTAAGCTCAACCTCTTAGGGTCAACCGTCTCAACCTCTCCCCGTTTCCCGGCCTGGGCTTGCTCGGCGTCTGGCGGGCACCGGGGCCAGAACCTCAGAAGTTCTCGAGCCCCCGACTGCTGCCTTGCACAGAAGCCCCGAGGCGCCCCGCACCCACCTTGGCGTAGGCCTTGTACACCGTAGCATATGTGCCACTGCCCAGGCGCTCGGTGAGAATGAAGCCGTCTAACCGCGGGGGGCCCCAGCCGGACCCTGCCATCCCGCCAGCCCGCGCCCGCGGCCGGGCTCTTCCTGGTTCCCGGAGCCGGGGTTCCGGCCAGGAGAGGTGAGCGCGCGCGCGGCGGGAAGACCGGATTCCACACTGCCCCGAGCGGCGCCCGCCGGAAGTGCAGCGAGGCAGGCGGGGCGCTAGCGCGCGCCCCGCCCCTCCAGGTGCTCCAGGTGCGGCTCTTGAGTACCTCCGCCTTCACCTGCACAGGAGATCAGATGATCCGCCAGTACCCGCAAGATCCATTTGAAGATACTCAGGTCCTCGCGGGCCTAACGGGAGTTAGCAGAGGCCAGCGGACGAGGTCACCGGGAAATCCCATGCAGGCTGGACAGCATCTTATTAGAGATCGCCCACGTGAATGGGGTAGGAGAGAGAAGCCCCGTCTAAGACGGGGATAGGGTATGTTCAAAGAGGCCCCTCTCCTCGAAGACCAGCAACTGTGAATGTGGAAGTACCGGAACAAGAAAGTACCATGGAAGAGGACAAGCAATCTCAGTCAGGGGCTCACCCCCGGGGTGAGGACTGAGCCTGCCCAGACCGGCCAGGGAGCTGAGTGACCAGACACAGCATCTTCACCGTCTCTTCTCGCCTCCGACTGGCCTGCCTCAACCCCTATCTACCCTGTGGGAGACTCCCAACTGTCCAAGTACAACAGACATCAGCACCAGTATTGTCTGAAAATGTCTTTTGTTTTTATTTAAGGACAAAATTGAGACATAACATATACATTTGTACATGGAGACAAAAAATACCAGAAAGGAGTTTACAAAACCTTGGTCACTGCCATCATCACTGAGTGGCTCTGGGGCGGTGTCAGCTGGCAGCCTCAGGGCTGCCTCAGGCTAGGCCCCAGATGCCCTGGGTTGGACTCCCTGCAGTCTACCCACCCACTCCAACCATCTCTGGAGGACAGGATACAGGTTTCAACCTTTAACTCCTAAGCACCCATCAGAGTGACACAACTCCTGGGGAATCCCCAGGACTAGTGGAAGGTGACCTAGACTCTACTTGGGGAGTATGGGAGAACCCTGGGGGATTAGTCTGGAACCCTCAAAAAGGTGGCCTGAAGAATGAAGTTCTGAACTCATTCCCCTTGCCCTCCCTAAGAGTCATATAAGCTAGATACTGCTGATGGTGGGGGGCAGGGATGGGCAAGAGTTTGAGGCCAAGCCAAAAGGCAGCTGTCCCTCAGAAAGAGAGGAAATGAAAACAAACAGGGCCAAACAAACCACACCTAGATAATCAAACCCACCCTAAAACAAGACTGCCAAAGGCTGGGCAAGACAACTTCAGGTCAGTGTCCTCTATCCCTCTCCATCCCCAAATCCCAACCAACCCCATTGCACATTCAGTAAGTCTAAAGAGGAAAGGGCTTAAGAAGAGCCCCAGAGGGCACCAGGTACTGCCCACACTGGGAGGATGCAGGGGGCCTACAGGGCTAGGAAACTGTTCATTAGAAACATGAAGCAGGTCAGAGGCTGGAAGCCCAAAGTTCACCCTAGAGTGATCTGAGGAACAGAACCCAGACTGCAGCTCATCTAAAGGGGAGCCCCCTTAAGAGGCTCCCAGAGTCTGAGCAGGAGGGAAGGGCAGGACTGTGGAAGCCACAGGCTGGGTCTATGAAGCCAGATTCTGGTCAGGCCTGCTGGGGAGGAATGGAATCTCAGGACTCCAGCAGAAGTTAAACCCCAGGTGGCTGGGCCCAGGACAGCCAGTGATCCCAAGTGTGTATGTTTGTGTGTGTATGTGTGTGAGTCCGTGTGTGTTATCTGTGTACGGGAAGATAAGAACTTCAGTCCCAGTGCTTCCAAAGAGACCAAAAAAATCCTATCAAACCACCACCAGAGAAGAAAAGACAGCTTTTTTTTTTTTTTCTCTTGTGTAAAAAAAAGTCCCTGTCCCTCCCTCCCCGTTCCTCAGGTGGAAGGGAGAGCTGGTTGCTGAGGGAGGAAGAAGAGCCACAGGCAAGACCCTCCCCAAGTCTGTGCTGGGCATAACCAATGCTTAAGGCACCCATGGAAAGTGCAGCTCAGAAGGCAGGTGAGAGAGAAGGCCAGGGCAGAGGGAGGAGAGTCAGGAGGACTAATTCCCCTGGAACGCTCCTTGGGCAGCAGATGAGGCGGCGTTGCGGAAGGTCCTGTTACTGAAGATGCCTTGGGAAAACTCCTCCTGGGCCTGCTGGAAGCTGGCTCCTGTCCTGCGGTACAAGGAGTGCACCTGCAAAAAGAGGCTGTGGTGAGGAAAGTCCACCCGCCTGGGGGCCACCAGCACATGGGCCCGAGGCAGCCACCACGAGCCCCAGCCTGTCTGCCCTCCCACCCAGAGCCTTGGAGGAGCCGCTGGAGCTTTGAGGACCCAGGAGACGCAACTGCTGTAGTGATGAACATCCCCCATGGAGAAGGCAGGAGAGAGGTGCCCACCCCAGAGGCTGGGGCTTCCTTGGGTTTGCAGCTGGCGCAGCACCCACCACTCACCCGCTTCAGGAGGAAGAGTGAGAGCACAGCACAGAGGGTGAAGAAGCCAGCCACCACCATCATGATGATCGACACCGCCAAGTCGTGCTTCATCGTAGACAGGGCTGCAATCCAACCACTGCAAAGGGGGATGAGGCCGGGGGGAGCACAGTGCAACTGGGCCCCAGAGCTCCCTGTGAGGGGCTCTTCTCCAGTGGCCACTGTGTGCTGGACACCACCCAGGCATCTCTGGGCAGCACAGAGCCCTGTGGGCCAAAACCCTGGCCTGTGAGGCCAGGCCTCGTAAAGGCCACCAGGCCCCAGAATGCCCATAGGGAATCTATGGGCCATGTGAGGCCTGGAAGGGAGGATGTGGCTGCTGTTTTCACTGTTAGGAGTAACGCTGGGTAGAGCCCTTTAGGGGGACATGGAAAGCCTAGGGCTGCTCACTGCGGAGGGCCCTCCCTCTGGGAAGGAGGGTCACTGGCCAACCCACTTCATTCATCCTTCTCACCTCAGCTCCTCACCCTGCAGCCCAGGGACAGTCCCACTGCCTCCAGCCAGTCACATCTCCTTCCTGAGCCCCAGTGTTTCTCATCTACAAAGGGGACATCCTCACATTTTCTGATTTTAAAACTTAATACAAAGCTACAGCTATCAAAACAGTATGGTACTGGCATCAGGATAGACATATATTATAGATCAATGGAACAGAATTGAGAGTCCAGAAACAAATCTATATATTTATCATCAACTGATTTTAGGCAAGTGTGCCAAAACCACTGAATGTTGAAGAATGGCCTCTTCAACAAATGGTGCAGGACAGCTAGATATCCATATACAAAACAATGAAGGTGACCAACACAATATTGTGAAGCAATTATCCTCCAATTAAAAATACATTAAAAAAATTAAAAGAAAAAAAAAAAAATAACGAGGGTACACCCTACTTCCACCATATAGAAAAGCTAACTCAAACCTAACAGTAAGAACTAAAACTATTAGATCTCATTACAATTAAGAACCTTTGTTCATCAAATGATATTATCAGGAGTGAAAAACAACACACAGAAAGGAGAAAATTTATAAATTATATACCTGACAAGCAGCTATGCAGTATCCTGAATATATGAAGAATTCAACAGACAATCCAAATACTAAATTAGAAAACAATTTGAATAGACATTTCTCCAAAGAAAATATGCAAGCACATAAAAGATAGTCAACATCACAATTATTCAGGAAAGAGCAATCAAAATCACGAGTTACCACACTTCTAGATTGGCTATAAAAGAAAAAAGGAAAAAAAAGAAAAGAAAATAGTAAGTGTTAGGGAGGATGTGGAGGAACTGGAACCCTCATACACTGCTATTAAGAATGTAAAATAGTTTGGCCTGGACTTCCCTGGTGGTCCAGTGGTTAAGAATCCACCTGCCAACCCAGAGGACACAGGTTCAATCCCTGGTCCAGGAAGATTTCACATGCTGCGGGGTAATGAAGCCTATGCGCCACAACTACTGAAGCCCGAGAGTCCTAGAGCCCATGCTCCACAACAGATAGCCACTGCAATGAGAAGTCTGTGCACCATAACTAGAGAGTAGGCCTAGCTGGCCCAAGTAGAGAATGCCCGCAGCAACAAAGACCCAGCACAGCCAAGAATAAACAAACATAATGGTTCAGCCACTGTGGGACAGTTTGGCAGTTCCTTAATAAATTATACATAGAATTACCATATGACCCAGCAATTCCACCCTCGGATACATACCCTAAAGAACTGAAAGGAGGTACTCAAAACCCTTTACACAAATGTTCATAGCAGCACTATCCACAACAGCAAAAAGGTGGAAACCCAAATGTCTATCAACCAATGAGTGGATAAACATGCAGTATCTCCAAGAACTATGGAATATTATTTAGTCATAAAATGTAATGAAATACTAACATGAACCTTGAAAATATGATGCTATGTGAAAGAAGTCAGGCACCAAAAGCCAAATGTTAGGCTCAGTGGTAAAGAATCTGCCTGCCAATGCAGGGGACGCAGGTTCAATCCCTGGTCCAAGAAGATTCCACACGATAAGGAGCAACTAAGCCCGTGTGCGCCACAACTACTGAGCCTGTGTTCTAGAGTCCAGGTGCCACATTTACTGAAGCCTATGTGTCCTAGAGCCCATGCTCTACAACAAGAGAAGCCACTGCAATGAGAAGCCCACACATGCTGCAACTAGAGAAACGCCCACGCAGCAATGAAGACCCAGCACAGTCAAAAATAAATAAATAAATAAATAATTTTTTAAAAAGCCACATATGATTCCATTAAAATGAAACGTCCAGAATAGGCAAATCTAGAGAGGCAGAAAGAGTTTACTGGTTGCTGGGGGCTCAGTGAATGAGGGAATGAAGAGTGACTACTTAATGGGCATGGGGTTTCCTTACAGTGTGATACAAATGTCACAGTGTGATACAGAATTAGACAGTGCTGATGTCTGCAGGACACTGTGAATGAACTAAATGCCACTGAATTATACAAAGTGGTTTAAGTGGTAAACAAAATGACTATGTTCTGTGTATTTTATAATCAGTAACAAAAAAGGGAGGCGGGAGGATGTCCACCTAATTGTGGGTGTTCTGAGGTGAGAGGAGAAAGACACCGGGAGGAGGTGTCCCTCCCTCCAAGCCGGGAGGAGGCTTGGAGGAGGCCTCTGAGCTCAGCCAGGCAGACCCAGGCAGGGCAGTGAGGGGCGGAGCAGGACCAGAACTCAAGCCTTCTGGCTCCCAGTCCAGGGTGTAAACAGCAGTTATTAATCACAGTCTTTTAGCAGGATCTCACTGAGGGTAATGAGTAATGAAACTGGGTCACCAGTCAAAGAGAAAAGGGCCAGATTAGAAATAGCAAGGCAAGAAGGCAGAGGGGAGGAGGAAGGCAGCATGCACTGGCCGAGAGCATGAGGTGAGTCACCCCTCGCCGCCACTCTGGACTCGCCAGCTCCACTGCAGGGCGGGGACCAAAATAGAGCAGCCCTTCCAGGCTCAGGCTCTCAGCCAAGTGCCAGCCTGACCTTTCTGCAATGTTCCCTGTGCACTGGAGCAGAAAGGAAAACATCAGCCATCAGCTTTTCTTTTTGAGACTAATTCTGAGCTGAGAACGGCAGCGGCCAGGACTCTCAAGCCAGCTGGATGCTCAAGGAGAGCAGCCCGAAGGAGCCAATTCACG